GAATCAAGATAATTAGATATTAATTAGAAATTTAATTTTGATTATAGTTTCTCTATAGAGTCGTATTATATCACGACAATGATTTTGACTTTAGATGTGTTTATAGGTTAGAAACTTGGTCAACAACTTAACGAAATGTTGATAGATTCTAAAACAAGTTAATTTCATGTAGTAGCTTGTGGAACAAGCTAACTATGTGATACATACATAGATAACTTGCCTTGCAAGTTAAGACATGTGGCTAGCAAAGTCAATACATGTTGGAGGTCTTATAGAATATCACCATGTAACTCTTAGTGAGAGAGTATATATGGAGGCAAGAGTAAAGCCTTTTTCATTCTTATCAACACCTTTCTAATCCTTAGTCTTATTTCAAGACTTTCTAGTCTTTTTATTTTTGGCAGTAGTCATTCTAGTTTAATATTACGTCACTTTTTGAGTGACTTTTTAATTTTCTTTAGTGACACAAGAGTGTATTGAGAATTTTCTTCTTTAGAGATTCATGTCCCTCATAATATGGAGGCAAGAGTGAAGCCTTTGTTATTCTTGTCAATGCCTTTTTAGTTTTTAATTTTATTTCAAGACTTTTTAGTTTTCTTATCTTTAGCAATAGCCATTTTAATTTACTACTATATCATCTTTGAGTGATTTTCTAGTCTTTTCAAATGATACAAGAGTGTATTGATATTTTAGTTCTTTGAAGTTCATATCCTTGACAAGCACCTAATTATAGAAGATAAATAAAAATATATCAACAATTCTACCAAATCTTATAGAATCTTAAATAAACTTAAAATAAACCTTAATAATTCTAATTAAATTTTAATAAATCTAAAAATAAATTTAAAAGAAATTACAAAAGAAACACAAATAAGACTTAAATTAGTTTCAAAGAAAAATAATAAGAAATCTTAAAGAAATATTAGAAATAATTTTTTTTAAAGAAACAACAAAGAATCTTTTAAAATATTAAAAATAAAAAACTTAAATATATTTTAAATAAATCCTAATCAAATCCTAATTTAATTTTAATTGAAATCCTAATAAACTTTAATCAAATCTTACATCAAATCTTAGTAAAATCCTAATAAAATTCTAAATCCTAGACTAATCTTAATAAATCCTAATTAAATCCTAATAAAAACTCAAATCCTAGACTAATATTAATAAATTCTAATAAAATTTTAATCAAATCTTTAAAAAATCTTAATCAATATCTAATCAAAATTTAGTCGAATTCTAATTAAATTGTAATCAAATTCAAAAAAAATCCTAAATCCTAACCAAATTCTAAACAAATCCTATATCCTAATCAAACCTTAGATCCTAAATCAATCCTAATCAAATCCTAAATTTTAAACAAAATTCTTCAAAATCTTATAGGAAATTAAAAATTCAATAACAAATGATCAAACTGTTGATTTTGACTCAAACTTTGCTCATCTTGTAACAACTACGTTAGCAAGAAGTACAAAAAAATTGAAGAAGATCACACATACCAAATAGATAATAAATCCTAAAATCTACTTTGGTATTGAGTGGCCTCCTTCTCTAATCTTAATGTTGATCTCTCTAAGCCAAAATATCTTAAATCTACTATTAAATACCTCTCAAAATTCACACATAAATTGAAAATTAAGTCTACTATCTAATTTCATAAATTTCATCTCAATTTAATTAGTAAATCGCTAAAGATCTTAAAAATCCTCATTAATCTTTAAAATCCCATTTTCAAGACCTCAACCTACTTGAACTTCAATATCCTTTAATCTAATAGTTTGATAATGCTGAAATTTATAGAATAAAATAAGAAAAATTATGATTATAAATCTAAAAATTTTTATTTATAGATCTACTATCAAATTTACAAATTTCTTCCAAACATTAACTATTTTTTTTATTTCATAAAACCAAATTCACCAAAAACAATCTTGATTTTGCAAAGCTCTTAAAAAGTCATTGCAAACTTAAATTATCTAAAACGAATGCTCAAAGAAACCTTATAAAGTTTTCTCTCAAATTCCATTCTTTGATTTGCAAAAGAACACCGGAGTTGCCATAGGTGCATAGTTTATGCTTTAGGATTTGATTTTGATCCAAGTTGACAACCAATCTTCTTTAAGTATTTTTTTAATAATTTGAAGTAAATTTTGCTTTAATTTATTGTTAATTTTCTTCTAAACATGTTTATATTAATTTCTTATCTCATTGTCATAGATATACTTATGTAAGCTAGTAATTACATATGCAAATAGGTAGAAGTAAGTAAAAGTAGGTAAAAGTAAGTAAATTCTATAATATTTAATATGGAAGCTTCCTAGAAGCTTTATAGATGCTGCTTTGACTTCATAGGTGTCTTTAATCGACTTTTTGGATTAGAAACGTGGTCAACAAGTTGGACATGTTCCACACATGTTGTTAGCTTGAAGATCAAGCTAACTATGTGGTCCACACATAGAAGAACTTGCCTTGTAAGTCAAGGCATGTGTCCTACAAAGTCAACACATATTTGAGGTCCAATAGAACGTCGCCACGTAGCCCCTAGTTAGAGAGTATATATAGAGACAAGAGTGAAGGCTTCTTCACTCTTGTCAACTCCTTTCTTGCTTCCAGTCTAGTTTCAAGGGTCTCTACTTTTCTTGGCTATTGATAATAGCCATTCCAATTTCTTTCTTAATATAAATATCAATTTATTTCTATTTTTTTGAGAGAAGTCTGACTTTTTTATTTGTCTTTATCATGCTCTTATCTTTGACACTCATTTACTTTGATTTGGCTCATATATACCTTTTCAAAGTAAATAGAAGTTTTTTTTATAAAAAATAATATTAAGACTAAATTTTTTAGTACCTTTCTATAATTTATTATTTTTTTTCTACTTCATCTTTCTATTAGGTTCTTCTATAATACTATCCATTTTTATTTTTATTTTTCACCATATAGTCATATTACCATACGACAACAAGAATATATAAAATTCATGTTGTCATTTCTATTGTGGAAAATTTGTACAATCTATTATAGTGATGTGTGCAAGACTTTGATGCAACAATCTTATGGTATTGATGTTGGTTTGACAACAAGAATATATAAAATTCATATTGCCATTTCTATTGTGGAAAATTTGTGCAATCTATTATACTAATGTGTGCAAAACTTTGATGCCACAATCTTATGGTATTGATGTTGGTTTGAGCCAAGTTTGCTAAAACATCTAGATTTCTAGTTGATAGTTAGTACATACCATTGCTCTTGTTATAGATTCATTCAACCACTATGTATTGGTGCCATTTGTAAAGAATGCATCTTTGGTCATTGAAACAAGCTATAAGTCCTTTATCTATAAATGATCCCATTGATAATAGATTCTTTTGTAAATCAAAAATGTACAAAATATCGTAAACATGTATTATTTTACCAAAGAAAAGAGTAAAATGTACTATTCCTCAACTAGAGTAAAATGTACAATTCCTCAACTTGGAATTAGGCGATTTTCACCTCCTGCAGTTTTAACATTTCAGCTGTAGTTTTCTTAGGTAGAATAACTATAGTGGTGTCCACTAACATGTTAAGTAGCTCCCAAATCTAGGTACCAACATGAATCAAAATTGTTCAAATCCAAAGATAAAATGACAGTTTCAAAGATTTGATGGTTACCATCTAGACTATAAACGGTGTCTGTGATGATACCGTTCTCCGTTTCAAGCCAGGACCACTCTTGTTGTACTACTTTGATCAAACTAAATGGGTAGGCTGGTTTGATTCCGAGTTTAGCTCTCATGTCTGCTTCAAGGCTCCGACTGTCGGCCAAACGCTCTGGACACATGTGGAGAAGATGATCGTGTTTGCTACAATAGAAACACCGCATCATGTTTAGTAGTGATGAATGATTCTGAGAAGAGAAGCTTTGTGGTGAATATCCATGCTGGTTGTTCATTCCTCCATTATGACGATTTTGGAGGCTCCCCCCGCGGTGGTGTTGATTTCCTCCTCGAAAATATAAAGCTTTGTTGTTGATTGACTTTGCACCTCCGTTGCTCTGTCGACAACTTTCTTTGAGCAGTAACCTTGTATGAAGTTGTTCCAAAGTCGAATATTGCCCTGTACTAGTAAAATTCTGCACAAAATAGTCAAAGCTATCAGGGAGAGTTTTTATAACTATTTGAACTAAGTTTGCATTGTTGATCCTGATTGTTCCTCCATTGCAGATAGTTGTGCCAAGATTTGTCTTAACTGCAAAAAATATCGTTCGATGCCTGTGCTCTCAGATAATGTGTTTTTCAAATCAAACTTTCTACTATCGTTATTAATCTCAAAAGATTGACACAAAAAATCCCAGAGGTTCTTTGGGTTCTGATATTTGGTGAGTTCAGCTTATAGATTGGGCTTGATTGACATTGTAACAATGTACATCATGCGTTCTATCTCATCCTCATCTGCTTCCTATTCTAAGGATTCCGCTTTCTTGCCTATATCAACCTGCTTGGAAGATGAAGAGGCTCCTGGAAATTTAAAGAAAAGAGTCCAGAATTTTTCTCGTTTTGCAATACAAGTAATCGAGTACTTCCACATGTGAAAGTTAGATGATCCTGCAAGCTTGGCCTCATCTGGAAGGATATTGTCCTTTGTCTTGTCATGGTTGCTAGCAACTAAACTCGCGTACTGGAAATGATACACAATAGATCTGAACTGCTATTAGGACGTCTCAAAGTCGCTCTGATATCATGTTCAACACATACATACACACACTGACTCATTGAAAGAGTATTTTATTAAGATGCGAACATCGTCATATATGCTTAACGAGCACATTGAGAAGCAACTGATGAACAGAGTGGCTCGGAGGTGGATGAACAGAATACTGTGAACACACCTCCGGTGGAGCGCGAGGCGGGGCACCACCACCTCGGGGCCCGCATCGAGGAGAATGAAGAATGGAGATGCACTGGCGATGGGGCCAAGCCATTTGGCAACGCCATGATGCACTGATGCGCGGGAGCCATGCAAATGGGAAAAGCAACGAGCCTACATTTGGCCACAGCCCACTCCTTTTTCCTGCATTGAATGCATCCGCGTCGTCGCTCCAAGTGATGAGGCGACGCCGCCTTGTCGTTTCGCGCATTGTAGTGAAAGTTGGGTTACACAAGGGTTGAAGTTTCAGTTGTTGAGAGTGGGTAGCGAGAATTCCGCATGACTTTTTGGGGCGTCTGTTCGTGTTTCGGAAGTGGGTCTGTCTCTCCGTGTAATTAATATCTTAGCGGGGGCTGGCTGGGTATCGCCACTCGATCTTCATTGTCAATATCTAGCCTCTACGGTTGGATTCAACTAGTTCCTCCGGGAATCTTCCTGCCTTTGGCTCGAGTTTGAACTTGCGAAGGATCGAAAGAGCTAGAAGGTTTGAACCTGCAGCTCTTCACTCGAATGTTTTGTAGCTTTGAACCTCGTTGCTGTTCTCTCTCACCTGTGTGCCCGGTTACGCAGCTGAAGTGTCCCTAATGTATTTTTCTGTACACCTGTTGTGTGGATCACACCGTGTGCATCTTCGTCGTGGAAGGCGATAATAGGGTTTAGTGCAATTGCATCGTCGAAACATCGCTCTCCTGGTCTTACACTTATTTTGCTAGAGTTAGGTTAGCCCGCAAGCGTGCACGTAAAAGTTACTTCGTTCAGAGAATGGATAGTGAATTAGAGCGCACAATGCCGACCTCTTGGCGGTTCGTCTCATATGATCATGTTTGCACGCTTGCTAGTCACCTTCAAGACCTAGTTCAAGTTTTCTGTGAGGCAATCATCTAAGAAATGTGTAGTTTTGCAGGTAGAGAATGACAGACTTGATGACACGCCGCGACTCTATTAACAATGGTCACGACGGTCACGACGGCCACGACAATACAGAGCACACGAGTCATCGCCCCGGAGCTGTGCGGCGCGCGATAGCGAAGGCCAAGAATTCAACTGGACTCACCCACGACTCAAAGGCATCGTATGTCGACTACCAGGATGACAAGCCTCACCCCCACCCGAAGGTCGAAGATATAGTCAACACGGTGGGCTTTTCTCTCATCCAAGAGAGCATGAAGTACTTGAAAAGTCCTGCAGGCTTAGAAGCAATGACGGTCATTTTCAGTGCACAATGTCGAGTGGCAGCCCGCTTGGCCTTGACTGAAGAAGCAAAGCAAGCGGCCCGAATCGCAGCTCAGGAGGCCACGGCGGGGACATACGATGGTGCAGAACGCAAAACCAGAGAGGCTTGGTCCAAAATTCCTCCATCTCTGGTGACAATTGGTTTCATCGTGATCGGCACCTATTTGGTGTTGTTCTCGGTTGGCTTGCTCTTCAGTCTTTGGCGGTTCGCCCTCTTTGGTCTTCACTAATTGCTGTGGTATAAATTCATCGCATTTCTCCCCCATGTCTTCGTTTGTACTGACTTGACAAGAGCTAATACTAAGAAAATGAATCCGTCGCCACGACGAACAACCTACCAGTCGTATTCATTAAAAGATCTCCTACAAGATGATGTGAAGGAATATTGTACTTCAATTGAACTTTTGTTATGGAAATGGGGTGAAAAGAGTATGCTTTAGAATACATCTGCCCTACTTGTGAAGGCTCAAATAGTGGGTACTGCGGGCATTCAATGTTTGCTGTGTGTGCTTATGAAGGGGCCATGAGAAATGCTCACGCGGCATCACGAGTGAAATTCAAAACACTGTCAAGGCTAATGTCGCCATGCCTGTGGAAAATGGGATGAGCTTCAATCACTACTGGCGGAACTTGAGAGCGTAGTAGCTGGAAATGTTTTAGGTTAAAAAAGCAAAGATACGCTCAGAAGAGACAAAACAACTTGAATACACTGGACTACCATTATTAAAGTTTAGGTTCATTAGTAGTTCCATGTAGGGAGAGATACATCTTCCTCTAGTGTCAAAAACCTGTAACAAGCATGACAAGTGATTAATCTATAACTTAGAAAAACTCCTTTTTAAAGAGGAAAATAGCACACTTTGTTGTGGCTCAAAATGATAACAGGAAGACATCCACTTTGAGAAGAGAGAAAAAAACAATTATGCAATCACCACTTCTAATATTGTCGGAGTGTCAGCTACTGAATGGAATTCCTAAAATATTATATTTTTTGTTTGTAGAGAACAATTAATTTTACAAATTGGCTGTAGTAAACCACACAATATATGAAAAAGATCTTGGACATACTAACCAGATTGGTTGAGTTTTAAAAAATCTTCAACTACAAAAAAACTAATATTGAGTGAGATAGAGTGATGGAAATTTACTACCTTTAGCTATCAAAGGTAGGATTTTAGATTTCTTGTTCACAACAACACTACTTATGCTTTACTTACCACTAATTAATACTTCTTAATTTTATTTTTGTTTATTTTTTAGTGTTTTGTTATCAATACTACTATATTAGAGATAAAAATCAACTTATAGATTATGGTTTAATTAGGACACTTTAGTTGAGTATTAATTGTGTTTTAGAATAACAAAACCAAAGAAAGTGATAGATACCATGAATCCTTTCACTACACACCTCACTGTTTTATTAATAATATTACACAACATCTAAATATATTAATAGAACAAATAAGTCAAATATGATTATAATTAAGCAAATCAAAGATCCAAATTGCATATTTATCTAACCAACTCCAATATCAATTCAAAAAAATATATCATTTATTAAAAAATAATAATAATAATAATATAATTTATAACAAAGGTGTAAAGCAAGAAGTTCAACTCTATACCTGTCACTAATCTAGATCTAAATGTTGCTTGAACTGAATTTATTTAAGTTGAATATAATAGAAAATAAATAAAATCAAATAATAAAGTTATAATAACCAACCTTGTATCTAGAAATTGACATTTTTGATCTAAAAAAACATCTAAATTAATAATAATAGTTTATCAAGCCAAATTTTCAAATGCTGGTTAAAAAGTACATAACAATGGTCAATAGATGCAAGTGACAAATTTATCTCATTATGGCATAATTACTTAGAAGCCAAGTCTTAAAAGAAACACAAATAATGTAAAATTAATATAAATGATTCATGTCAAAGTGAATATAGAATCTTCTATTTCAAATAAAAAAAAATTGATAAATATGAAATAAAGTAATAAAAAATTCTTCTATCTTTACAAAGTATTTTCATGCAAGAATAATAAATATAAAAAAATAAAAATAAAAATAAAGATATTTATTTCATAAAGTTTATATATAAGTTCTTCAATTGATTCTTAAAGTGTATCTTATTAGAAAAGACTTTTAAGATGTAAACATGCTCTTATATTTGTTTTAAGTTTAAAATTTACAAAATTACAAATATTAGTTTATAATATAAGAAGCCTTAAAAAATCCTTATAAAATAACTTAGTTTATAGATTATATTAGATACTTATAACCGTTGTGTAACATCCTTCTAATAAAAAAAAATACAAGTTAAGTTAAAACAAATTAAGATAGTTTAATTGTATTTTATAGATAGAATTGGATTGTTACATGCTTAAAACAATGATTTGCTACAACCATGTAGAAGAAAAAAAAGCTAGAAAAAGACAAATATGTGTAATAATTAGACCTTTGTTAAAAACGTGATCTTCTTAAGTTAGATTTTACTAAAATACCATATTTCATTACTTCAAATTTTCTCTTTAAATTCATAGAATCTTTTGATTTTGGATCCCAATTTATTGATATGACAAAAAAAATATTCTTTATAACTAAAAAAACAAGTAAATATCAACAGATAAATTACTTTAAAATTTCAAATTCAATAAGGTATACAACAACAAGGGTGTCTACTTGCTCTTTACATGTTTTTTAATGGAAGCAACATCCTAACTTTTTTTCTTAAATCATCTTCAGAATAAATATATATCAAAGAATTTATATTATCTAAAGATAGAAAATAAAATTAGCTGTTATGTAAATGACTTTATAATATTTTAAATTAAGAATGTGCCAAACATTGATGCAACCATTGATGTTCCCAATACTTTTAACATATTATTAGAATGTAGTATCAATTAAAAAAATTAATATTTTTATGGTATTTTTGTGATATGTAACTTCCATAGACTATCAGTTTTACTCAAATTGGACCAACAAGAGAGGAATATGTCTGTTGAATATTTACAAGAACAAAATTTCCTTTATACTAGATTTAATTTAAGTAGAGGAATCTTAGTAATGAATTGTATTATTTTAATATTTTTTGTATTTTATCATAACATACAATGAATATTTACAAGCCATAAATTATTTAAATAAATCAGACATGAATGTTTTTAGACACAAATAGAAACCAACACCAAAGTTAAGTTTTATTGGCATTTTTTCATCTAATGCATACAAAATTAGAGCCTTAACTTAATGCTAAGACAACTTTTGATGTATTAGAAATTAGATTAGTATTCAAAGCTTTTTACTAAGTTTTTGTTCAACTTAACATCATTTGACATAAATCATAGCTCTTATAATTATTTAAAAGAATTTATAGAAAAACTTTAAATGTGCTTAAGATTACCATATCTGCTTAAAAATATTACACTAACTTTAAGATTGAAAAAATAACTTAAAAGACTATATATTTTATTTCAAAATTATCTATCATACAAATCCTATGATATATGATATATATATATATTCTAATGTGTACCACCATCTAAAGATTATTTGCTATTTGTTTCTGAAGGATCTACATACATCAAATAAAAAATCTCTGGTGTAAGCAATCTTAAAGTCGAATTTGATAGAAAGTAGTCACTACTATGTTTTACTTTTTTTCATTAGAAAAACACATACAGATATGACATTCTTTTAAATATTCTAAAACTACATTTAGCTGCTAAAATAATGCCCATAAAAAATTCAAGAAAAAAATTAAATTAACTTATCAAAATAAATTTCAATAACTACATCTTCTATGGGAAAGAAAAAAATGCACTGGAGTAAAATAAGAACCATCTCTAATTTGGCTTATTTTGAATAGAGAAATGCATGGAGATAAAGAAATATATATATATCAATAATACTTGTTTCTTTAGTAGTCCGAAAGTAATAAAAATATAGTCCAACATAGATTCTAGGATTGCCCTATTGCACAATAAGATTGGCTACAAAGAATAACTATTTTCTATTATTTCAACAAACAAGGTCCAAGAAGTGTCCCATATCTAGCACTAAATTCTCAACAAGTCATCTTTAGAGAAGCCTTCATTCACATCAAAGATTTGAAAGTTTTGAAGTCTTTTATAATTGGTGTGTTTTTTCTAGATATTATAGACAAAGAAATAGTTTGATCTTTATACAAGAGGTATGGATTAATATAAATTATTAAACATAGTGATATGATTTATATTAACAAATTATGGAAAAGATTAATAGAAAAGCCTTTTCTTTAATTCATAGAAGACCTAAAAATTAAAAAAAATTAATTTTAATTTTAAAAAACCTGCATCAAGTGACCTACACTGAGAATTGTAGATATATGCACTCCAGAAAAATGAGATAATATCTATGTTCTAAAACATATATAACAAACATCTAAAACAAAGTTTGAGATATAAACTAAAGAATACATATATATTTTTTAAATCTCCAATTAATTAGAAAAAAATGTACCCCCTCGTGCTTCAATAAAAATGAAAAGGCACAACATATAACAAAAGGCTGGTCTGGATGCACACCTCAAATGTGATAAAACAGCTTCCACGAAGATCGCGGGTCCTACGTGGCTATTCATTCCACGTGGGTCCAAAAGTGACACGTAATGATCCTAGTTGGCAGGCAGAAGCTGAAGCGGGGGGGGGGGAGTTTCTGCAGATTTTGCCTTTGGTTTTCGTGTTATGGTGTTGCCACAGCGAGTGAGTGAGTGAGCTCGGTGCGACGGAGATTGATCATCACGAGCTTTAGCGGCTGTGAGACAGTTTTGTGGGTTTAGTTGCTGGGAGTCTTGCAGGCACGCTTGAGGGGCGGACATTGTTCAATCAACAGCCAAATTCTGCGGTGCGGGAAGATTGTGCTTCTTCTTCTTCCTCTTCTTTTGTGGTAGTGTTATCATTGCGGATTAATTGGTCTTGTGTTTGTTTTTTGAGGGGATGTTTGGTGATGTCAGTTATGGGCAAGGATTGTGTGAAAATTGGGGATTGAATGGGAGGTTTCTCAGGGATTTGAGTATCACTCTTGGGTGGAAAGGGTCTGGGATTGTAATGAGTTGTGAGTTTGGGTCGTTTTTTCGTAGAATTTGGAGTTTCTGATTTGAATGGAGGGATCTATAAACTGCGCTACTGAAGTGGGAAAGGCATAAGAGTTGGTGGTAGTCTATTCTTTTGAAACTGGCGTCAGGGTGGTTGTCTCTCGCTTCCTGGTTGATAAATGCCTGGAGCCTCTCCTCTCTGTACCACTTCAATTTTAGGTTTTAGCTTTATTTTCGTCTGGATTCAGGCTGTTTACTGTGCAGTGCCTCTACGGAAGAGCTTTGAGGGGTCCGAAAAAAAATTCTAGTAACTTTATATGGATGTAGGGTTAAGGATTGATAATAATAATAATAATAATAATAAGGGCGGTGTTGTGGCGTAATTGATCCTCTGCACTGATGGGTGTGGCGTTTTCACGATGTGTCCTAAAGGAGTGGTTTGGCTGAAGATATTTATGGAAATTGAATTGTAAATGCTTTCTGTTAGTTGAGCTTCGGAAGTGCCTTGTTTCGAGTCTTGTTTTGTGATTACAAGATGACTCGCATCACACTCGATTTAGTATCTGAAAATGGTCCGTAGTCAGGAACGGGTTAGTGTTGAAAAGTGGCTAATCAAGTCATCTTTTATTTATTCTTAAACCTCTTTTTTCATTTTGGCCAAGGGGGCAATATACGACTTGATGCTAGCCGTAGCAGGTTTTTATGTTGCTTGAAGTGCAGCAAGGCTTTATATCTTGTCGCAGATAAACCTCACTTCTTACATTACGGTGCAAATGATTGATGACAAATGTTAGCTGCCTTTTCTTTGTCCATTGAAAAACTAGTGCATATATGCCTACGATGACTTTGTAGCTCAGCTCTTCCAGTGTTGCACGCTTGTCCGTGTTTGATAGTAAATGTGTGGCTTCACATTAGAAGTGATAATATTAATATGGCTCGTAATACAGGCCATGAGGACGAGGCATAACTTGGTTCTTGTCAGTTGTGGAACGAACCAGGATGCCCATCACTTCGCTTTTATCTGTGGGAATGTTGGATTTGTGAAATAAAAATGTTTTTTTTTTTTTTCTTCTTCTTCTTTTGATCAGGTTCAATAACTGATCATGCCGAGTGTAATCTGTTATGCGTATACGATTGGAAATTTGAAGTACTAACGAAGTGCAAGAGAGTAATCTGACTCAAGACTATGGGTAAATTGTGTTGATTCAGGAGAGATGGAGCGACCTCCCCAACTAGATTACGCACAGAACTGGGATGCTGCCATGGACCTTACGTTGAGACGATTCGTCTACGGTTCTCTTTCTGGAGCCGCATCCGCTTTGCTCCTCTTTAGGAGTCCCACTACACGCTGGGCTGCTGTTGCATTTGGAGCAGGCGCAGGCATTGGTTCAGCTTGCACCGACTCTTTCAAGCTTTTCCCTGACACGGTTGGTGCAACTTTTCCGTTCAGTTTGATGCCTAGCCGCTCGGTTGCCCGTGATGTTCAGTCCAGGCATGCTGATACCCCAGAGCCGAAGCACGTCCAGGAGCTTCTCATCCAAGAAGCCCAAGCTTGAGTTGGATTGGAGATTGATCGTGAAGGGGATTCGTCGCCAACTGACTGTTTCTGCTCACATCTAGAAGCACTCAGTGTTGGGACGCTCGAGGCGGTGTGTGCAGTAAAATGATTTCACGAGAGCAAGTGGTTACAAGTTCCTGCTAGCATCATTCAGAGATTCGGACGTTTACGATCATTAGCATTTGCCGAGGTTTGTCAGGCATTGCTGATTTGTCTTTTATGTAAGCTTTCTTCTCAAACATGGGTAGACCGTCTTGCACATTTGTTACCTTTCTCATTCAAATCCAGGCTGCTGTTTTCTGAGAGGGCAATTTTTAAGCAAATTCTCTTTTTTCTTTCTTCTCGCTGCTCCAAGTTCAAACCTTGCAGGTTATTGAAGTTATTGCAGGTTATTGCTGACTTTTGCTTGCAGTGGTCTCTTACACATTTTCACTGTCGAAATTTGCTTTGAGATTCCGAAACATTAGAGAACAATAAATTGCAGATAATTTAGGGTGTTGCTAATGTCAACACAGAAGCAAAAATTGTTACAATAACTGTGATCACCACAGTTTTTGCTACTGCCACCACAATTTGCCATATGCCACTTGTTCATTATTTATGGATATGGGTATGTATTGTGACTTGTTCATTATTTATGGATATGTATTGTGGTGTGCAACACAAGTTTAAGGCAGCTTGTGGTGACATTAGCAATAATTGTAATGGTATGTGATGAATGGCAAATTACTGTGGCCATAATAAAAATGTGGTGGCATTACCAACACCCACAACAAGACAGTATCCTCCTCATTTTATCATTCATTGTTTAATCTCACAATGTCAGTTGGACATATGCCCAAAATATTGTTCATCACTGTTTCAATACAAAAACATTATACCTATTACAAACAATTGATAAGATCAAGATATTAGAAACTGTAACATAATGATCTGGAATCTGTTCAATATTATATTCTGTAGAGAATTTTTGTGTACTTTAAACAAAATTCATGTAAATAACAAAGAAATTGATGTATCTTCCATAACGTACTTCATAGTCATGTTACATATGAGTTTGATTATGTTAAAAACTTAACTTTACACCTAGTGGTGAACATCCAATCTTGATGATAAGACATACAATTGCATATTAGTAATAACAATATGAAGAAAGTTGTTTGCTGGTGAGCGCTAAAAACTCAGATTTTAGCCTTGAGTAATGGATCACTAGTGATTGTGCAAAAATTCAAGCAACCTCTGTGTCATTATATTGGAGAAGACAGGCATCGATTCCGTTACCTCCTGAATGCAAATCAAATACTCTACTATTTGAGCAGAATATCCCATCGGGGTTAAAGTAACAAGGTAAAAACAATGCGCAAGTGCACAAATTAAACGGCTGGTGCCCTTATCCAAACGTGAGGGACGCGATGGAAACGCAAGGTGACTTGCTTATTTTGTGTGTAGCATATTTTCCTTCCTAGGGCATGTGCCTACAAGGAAGAGTTTGGTTACTACGCTATTATTAACCTGCTTAATATGTAGTGTCGTCATCGGATTGTGGTCCATTCTGGAATGTATTTGTGCTATGAGTATCTGGAGGTTCTAACCTCTCCCTCCAGCCTTGCCTACTGCCATAAACGCTATCAATTAAGCAAAACATGTCTTTGTCCGCTATGTCTGCATGCGCCATGGTCTTGTAAATGTAGAGTTGCAAATCTGGTACTATCGCTGTTTGATATTCTTGTACATGGTGTAGAAGTTGTTGATGTAAGGAGAAGGTGGCCTCAGGTTAATGGATGTGTGTGTCAATCTGATATCCAGTTTGATTCTGCCTTTCCTGATCAATTTCTTCAAACAACTATTGGATCTCTAGGTTTAGCTCCTGATTGGTGGACGTTATCGAGTCAGTTGAAGTTCTTAGAGTTGCAACTGTTTGGAGGGAATTATTAGAAGAAGTTGGTGATTGATGCTCTGGAATGGTTGGTGTTGGCCATCGTATTATTGGTACATGAGGGTGTCTCACAAGATCTTTAAGAAGCAAGTCTAGTAGTAGAACGAGATGTCAGGTGAAATCTTTGGCAGTCCTTGATGAAAATATGTTGCCTGCAATCCAAAGTTGTGTAAATATTTTGATTTTTGTTGTCTGGGTTTTGAGAGTGAGGTTGTGCTAGTGTAGATCCCTCTATGCTTCCAGTTCTATATAGGTTGTCATTATCTAAGCTCTATATAATACCAGCTCTATATGATAGGATGTGTAATTTCTATCAAATGGGCACTTGTTGACTCAAATGTACTAAAGTATTAAGGTTCTCAGTATGAGCCATGGAGTGTCCGAAGAGACCTTAATTGAGGTTGTAAGGCTCATCGTTGGGTGAGGATCGGGGTTGAGTGGTACGTAGAGGACGTCGCTAAAGCTTGTGAGTTGTAAGAGATGTGTGGTTTTTCAGAGCACATTGTATCTTTGCCATGCTATGATGATGTGTAGACACTCCCAGAAGGCATGGAGTATTGTTTCTATAGTGTTGTTGCAAAGGGAGCATTGGCTATCCTTCTGCATTACTTGTCTCTACGCTCCTATTGGAATACCTCCTGCAAATACTAACCATCTTATAATTGATACTTTTTGGAGGATCCATGGATGCCAGAGGGTGGCATAAAACTATGTTTTGGCTTGGATTCCAAAGTTGTGTGCTTTGAGAATAGCTTTGCCTTTTGAAGGGACGGCTTTGGATTGACTTTATTCTCTATAACCCCGTTTCATAGTATAATTAAATAAGTTGGTCTGTAGTAACTCTCCCTGAAGTTTCTATCTCCAATCGGTTGGATCAATAGAAAGCTGTTGGATCGGTGTGGCACCAAAGAGCCATATTGTGGTATCTCCTGTGGAGGGCGGGCAAGGGTTGTAGTCATCCAATACTCATGTTGAGCCCCTTAGTGTTATCACCTTAACTCATTTGACTTCCATGTTGCCTAAGTGGATTGATTTGGTATCGACTAGTAGTAGTTCTTTTGATTCTGTGACAATATACTTATTTCTTTTCAATACACCATTTGTTATGTTAAGAATATGGAATATTTTCACAATGGGGTCGGCAATGTTTGGTGTCCACCATTTGATGGCTGCATAGTTTTGAGCCTCGACGAGATGCCAAAGAATGTTGTCTAAGATTTGTGAGTGTTGAGTGTTGATTTGTCTTCCGCTAATGATGTGTAAAAGAGTTGCATTATTGTACCAATCTTACGTGTTTGTATTTTAGAGGTCACTACAAGTTTATATTCTTCGTTTGGCCCAAAGTATGTATCAATCGGCCATGTTATAATTCCACATGTTATCGTTCGGTGCTCTAATGAGGAGATTGTTGAATAACGATTGGCATAGTATTTCATCTTTATGATATAGTCTGCGTTGTTCTAGGCCAATTTGGAGTTCTTATCATGCTCGTCTCACTACAATCTAGAAAGAAGAGCCTTGATGAAATAGCCCTACAATCCATTGAGGGCTGGTGTACCAGAGTCCTTTTTAGCAATACTATGTTTTTGTGGCAAAGTAGTACCTTCCAAGGCTCTACTCCCAGTGCTATGCCTCTTGTAATTAGTTTATCTATTAATACTTGTGCTTGGAGTTCAAGATCAAAAACTTTGAGCCTTCATGTATTATGAGTTGAATAGTAGTATTCTATTGGGCCTTGGCATATGTGCTGCTAGTGATTATCCTTGACCAAAGGTAGTAACTTATTAGTGCTCTCATTTCATTGAAGATTTTGGTTTCTATATTGGTGTAGGAGGCTATGTATTAGACTGATGCTAGAATTACTTAATTGATGATCATAGCCCTTTCAACTAGCAATAGTTGCTTTAGAGCCAATTTGATTAGTTGTAATGTGATTTGGTATAGGACTTTTGGTCTATTTTCTATTGAGGGTGTGCCAAAGCCAATTCAAAAATCGAGATAGCAGACTCAAGAGATAGATGTTATCCAGTTGAGTTTGCATTCGAGTCTCTATTTAGTGTTGCATGGTCTTGAGGAGGCTCATATTATTACAGTTTTATTCTAGTTGATTTTTGTCCCTGATGCCTTAGAATATATATCCAGTACCTCTATTATGTTGTTCAAGTTTTTACTGTCATCCTTTAGAAATAATGAGGTATTGTCCATAAACATTGAAGTAATATGGCGTGATGTATCTAGTAAAATAAGTTCTTCTATCTTGTACTTATAATCGTCAAGCATGTAATCTAGAATATCCATTGGAAAGATAAATAGGTATGGTACTAGGCAGTAGCCTTGGTACATAGATCTTTCTAACTAGAAGGATGTGCCTTGATCCCGATTGATAAAAATTAGTGATTCAACTTCCTTATGCAAAGCCATGTTCCATTTGATCCAATTATTTGAAAAACCGACTTGTTTCAATGTTTTTTGAAAGAAAGTCTAACTAATTTGATGATGGGCCTTCTTCAAGTCCAATAATATTAATATTAGATCTTGGTTGTTGTCTTTTGCCCAAGGCATTGCTTCATTGGCAAGAAAGACATTATCGTATATGCATCTATTCTTTACAAATCTTATTTGGGATATTTAAATCCATCTAAGTATATTAGCTAGGACTTTTGCAAACCCTATTTGGAATTTTTAAATCCATGTAGATAAGTCTATTAGTTAGGACTTTTGCTATAATCTTGTAGATTGTGTTGAGGAAAAAAATAGATCTATAGTTTATGATGAATGAGAGGTCCCTTGTTTTTGAAAAGAGGATAATATTGCTTGTATTCAATTTTTTAGGAAGGCGGCCATGTGATAGGACCAAGTCAGATCCTATGTCTTCTCAGCATGCTTGAAAGAACTCGGCGGGGATTGTGTCAATGTTAGGTGTCTTTTCCTCTGGTAGATCATTCACCGTTGTTTCAATCTCTTCTACTATGTGTTGAAGTAAAAGTGAAAATAAAATAAATTACCTTATAGAGGATATTACCTTAAATAAATTACTTATGGTCAAGAAATTGACTCTTGGTATATAAAAAGGATATCCTATGGATATAGGATGAGGTCAAAGACCAAGAGTCAAAGTCAAGAGGATAAAGTATGAACTAGGGAATATCCAAAGACTAGATAAGAATAATTAGTGTTTGGTATAGGATACCTTTGTAGTTAGTAAGTTGCTATCACGAACATATATATTTACCTCAATAGTTATTTATATGATTAAGTAGAAGTAGGTAAAATAGAATAATTTCATAAAGTCTTTTAGAGAAACTTCATAAACGTGGTTTTGACTTTAGATATTTTTATAGGTTAGAAACTTGGCCAAAAAGCTAACAATATATTTGTAGCTTGTGGAATAAGTTATCTCCATGT